TTAATACAACAAACATAAACTTTGCCCATGCCTAAATAGTGATAAATTTTAAATAATCATAATAATGATGTTTCAAAGCCTAGTGAACACATTTCTATGAAAATTTGGAAAAATATAAGTTCTAAGAGTACCTCTGGAAATAATGAATTGTGCTTATTTTTAATAATTGAGAGTAGGAATTAAGATTTAAACTTTTTGAAAGACGTAAATCAGAATTAAGCAGAGTTCTATCCCTTAAACAAAATCAAAAACTTCACCGTAAAATATATCAATTATTCAGAGTTAACAAATTTATAGTAAATAATAATCAATTTTGTTGTTACAAAAAGAGTACACAGCTAACAGCTGGAATTTGGCAATTCTGAACTATATGGAAGACTTAAATAGGAAGAATTCAATCAACATTATATTAAAGAAAAATTGTTTTGTATAATATTACCTAAGTAACTTACTAATGATTGGACTTGATTCAAGAGAGACAAATATCTCAAAAAAGCTTTCATGAATCAAAGCAAAAATTAAATATTACAAGCATTATTTAAGCTGTAAATTTAAGTTTGAAAAAATATAAGGTCATCAATATAACTTCAAATCAAACTGATGCGTAATATTTTTAAAAAACATTATCAGACAAGATTTTGAAATTTGATCAAATCTGAAAAGCATTAAGTTGGACTTCAAGATTCAATAATTTCTTATTAGTAATTAATTACAATGATACATGATGAATCCTATACTGAATCTAACATCTCTTCTCAATAGAGAAATTGAGTACAAATTATCCCAATAAATAATATTTTTTTTTTTAAATTGATCACATCATGAATTTAATTTGGCCAAAAATTGTTGTAACTATATAATACCGGTGTACATCTAAATAGAAATAACAGCCATTTAAATTATTATTATACCAAAATAAAAATCAATCACATAAATTCAGTGGGAAGTCTTCACATTTAATTTTTTTTCGTCTTAAAATAATAAACATCTAAAATACAAACGATAACTAATAATACGTGGAGGAATATTGCACAATTGCTGCAACCAATTTATTTTAAGAATGGATTAATATTACGCTCCTTGTTAAGTCAAAAGTCGCTGTTTTGGCTGTTGAAAAAGAAATTTAATTTACTAGTTCATTACAATACGATATTTACTTTTTCTTACATTTATCACTTCAATTTTAACACAAGATATTTTTAAAAAGTGAATACACAAATATTTTTAGAGTCTTATGTATTCTTAATTGGATTAGTATATGTTTAAAGGACCAATTTAGTTCCTTATGTAAGAAAATTACTTTCTTAAATGTTACAACCTGGACCTCCATTATTTTAAAAATCTGTTTTAGATAAGATTAAAGAAGTTATTACTTACTTTGAGAAATCTTATAGACAACTATTAATTTTAATTTTCTGAAGATTCATATAAATTTTTACCCATAAATACATATAAATTTGTCTAAATTAAAGAAAGTGTTGCAGTGTAGACTTTTTCCTCCCCCGTACTTTTCTATTATTTTTAAAAATGTTTATGTATTTTTTTTTTTTTTTTGGCACATTTCTTAAATTATGATTGAAGAGTGAGCAGCCTTAAAACATTTATAAAATTACTACCACATTCTTATACCAGAAATTTCAGTTCAATAGTAGCAAACTACAATTTTTCAAGTAAGCCTAATCAACTGCATTTTTAACCACAGCAGTAATATTATTCGACTATGCCATAATTTTTTTTATGTTTCTTTAGTAGCTTTATCAAACAGAGTTCAAAACAAACTAGAAAAATAATAAGTACTGGCTTTAAAAACTTCAATTAAATGTTAATACAATAATCGGTGGCATATTTTTATAACTTATAGTACATACCCTACAGTCCAATACTTACACTACACATTACATACTCTGAAAAAGTTAAGGACTGTAAAAGGGGGTAAAAAAAAGGAGAACAAAATTTAAAGTTTCGCTCTTATAGTTTATAATACATTGTGGGTTTATCGTGAAAAGTCACTGAGTACATTTTTGATGGAACTTAACTTTCAAGTATTTTTTCATGAATTTCAACCTTAAAAAAATGTATCCAAGTACTTAGTGATTTAATTTTATGAAATGTTACTTAATGACTTTCTGCAATAAACCTGGACATATTCTAAAATATTTTGTTAGTAGTTTTATATGTTAAGCCATGCCAAGCAAGTGAGTTCAACAATCAACTATCCTAACCTTTGAAAACAGCTTCAAAACTAAGATGTATTAAAATAAAGTTGGGTTGAATTAACACAAAATTGTTAGTTATTAAAACTTTTAAACCAATTAATACAGTGGGATTTTATTTTAACATGGCTTGTAATACTCTAGATTTGTATATAACTTAGATTGGGCAAATTCTGGTCTGAACTTTGATTAGTTTATAAAAAAAGAAAAACTATACTACTACAACACAGAAAGGATCTTGGATTCAGAACTTAGTAAGGAAGTTCGGTTTCTTTTTTAATGGTTAAACAAGGAAGTGATAGGATCAATAGCCCATGCTTAACCACAAGGTTCATCCCAAACCCAATGATACTGATAGTGGGAAAATCCTTTTAGGTAATTAAGAATGTATTTATGGGTCTAGATCTTCCAGCAAGAAAGCTGAGTCTGAAAATGAATGATAGACGAATAAAATTCATGAGGGGGCAGAGCGGCCGAATGGGCTAACGCGTGTGCACAGTACCACAAGTTGCCTGGCAACTAGATAACCGGAATTATGAGAGATTAAAAGTATGAGTTCGTGTCCCGATGGCGGAGGGGATTTTAAATTCTCTGCTCTCGTCCCCCGGCCTGGGAAAACCCCGTATAGCCTACAAGGCGAGGTAGGGTAAAACAAAAGAGAAAAAATTCATGAAGTCAAGTTCAGGGATAAACCAGATGTTATGAACCATCCTAGTTACTAACTGTTTTGAAAATATGGAAGAATATGTCTGTCTGGTGATATAGGTCAAAATGATAAAACAGCGAGATAGAACAGCAAAGATAAAAAGAAGAATAGGGCTGGTGAACCAAGGCTTTTTCTGACTGGAACACCTCCTCCAGAAGCCTTCGTCCTCTTTAGGACTACAAAATTGAAGCTATATAAATCTCTTATCCAATCTGCCTTGTTGTATCGTACTGAGACCTGGACTATGTCAAGGTCAGATGAACAGACTTCTAGTTTTTGAAATGGAATTCTACATCCAATATATGGTCCATTAAAAGAAGGCAAAGGAATAACCTGAAGTTCTACAGATGGATTAAGGAGCTGGACACATCAGTCATTCCTGCAGGGAGGATTAGATGGACTGGACAATGAACAAATAGGGTCTTCCTAAAAATATGATGTTAGATCAGTTATGTTAGATCAACATAATTGAGGGGCATTAGAATACCTAAACCACGGTGATAAGACAGTCACAAGTGGTTCGAGAAATCTGCTGTGTGCAGAATTGAAGAGCGGCTGCACAGAATAAGGAAGGAGAGGAAAAGCAGCTGGAGGAGACATTGACTCCACTAAGTGGGTTGCCGTGTTGATGATGTAATACGATTCCAGCATGTTTAGCTTGAATTCTGGTGTCAATCGAATTTTGCTTGTTTGTTTATTTGGGTTTAACATCCTTATGCGTTCTAGCCTGGACATGAAGGAAGGATTATACTCCAGGTAAACAATCTATTTTATATAGAGTGAGTCGAGGCTCATCCCATAAGTCAGCCATGAAATAAATTTTAAGGTAGGCTAAGGTTGCTAAGATTGGCCTCAACACACTAGGCCATCATGGGGTCAGATAAATATATTACAAAATAAATAAATTATTTTTTCATTTCTTTCCAAACAATTTTGATTTTTTTTTTTTTTTTTTATCAACTTATTTAACAAGCTCCTGAATGGCATGGCGTAACGCACAATATATACAAATGTAAATATGCTTAAAACTTCCTTTTTGAGAAACTTCATTCAACTTAATCTCATCAAAGTGTAGTATAGGTATTCTATCATAAATATAATAAAAAAATACTTGCCACACATTTCGTTAAAATAAAAATATTTTACCTAGTTACGAATTTGAGCGATTTGTAAATCATATTAATATAATAAAATTTGTAATACCAAAATTAATTAAACTAAATTCAGAAACAGTTCTAGTTTGCCTTTTATATGTGTTGTTCTATAACTTATCCTTCTATTAACCATCCAGTATATTACATTAAGTACATGTCTCGAAATAAAGTTGTTTAAGGCTTAAAGAATCTGAAAACTTAACTTGCTTATTTTTGCATAACAAGTATGCTAATATTACAACTTACCAAGTAGCAAACCCTGAAACTAGCTACTATATCAGAAATTTACATTGTGCTATAAATATCTCCAAGAAAATATTCTTTTAAAAACCCATAACTACTAAAATAAATTTAGAATGGGTTAATATATATTTTTTCTAAACTTTTATATAAACATTATACTCTAAACTAATATATCCAGGAATGAATTTTTATTAATTAAATAATTTTGAGGTATTAAAAATGAGAATGTTTCACAATTAAAAGTAATTCTTCCTTTCTAGTATGTCAGAGAATCTTTCTTTACCATAATCTTTTACATATTGAATCAGACTAGATCACAAGCGTATCTAGAAGACATCATTTTCTAAAATTATTATTATTTGTTTCTCATTAATGATTCACTCAGAATTTATCACATATCAACTATGTGTCATAAAATGATCTTAAGTTGAACCATTTCCCCCCTTAAACATCCTATCACCATACAAATTAATCTCATTCAAGTCTTTGCTTCACATCTGGTCATTTTTTAATTACTATAATAATTTTTAGAATAAAATAATGAAAAAAGTTATAATTAAAAGAAAAACATCTCTACAGTATGTCTACTGGCTCACATCAGGTCACAAATATATAGATTTTCACTACATGATTTATATATAAATATATATATATCAGCTAATAATTCAATATAATACTATAAAATTTGGTTATACACCCAACTGATTTTTATAACATCGAAATAAAATATATTCACAAAACAATATACTTTTAAAATGTTATTAACTTTCCAGGTCAATTGATGCTGATAGAGTTCAACAATAACCTTCGGACCTAAATGTCCACAATTGCTTTGCCCTCAAGTTTGTGCAGAGCCAAATGTCCCCGCAGGAGGTCGGTACATTTTGGGCAAAGTCAATATCTGGAGACTATTGAAGGCATACTTCCTAAGTCCTGTGTTTTTATATGTGTTCTCTCGTCTCGTTCCTTCACTAAAAAAATTAAATAATTCAATAAGTGGACTGAATTAAGAAGAAGTATGAAAATTCACTTCAAATTTCATTTAAAATAATGAGTATATATATATATATATATTACTGATATGAAATAAGAGAGTAAATCAAGTATAAGTGGATGGAATGGACAAGCAAGTTGGGGCGTGGGTCCCCGAGTGCCTGGTTCTGAACGTTGTGGGCTTGATTCCCACCTGGGTCGGTTACTTTTTATTTCTCGGCGGCACTGGCAGCACTTCCTCCAGCAGTACCAGTACCAGTAAATCACATATAAAAAGTGATTGTTTTTTATAAATTCATTGATTAATGTTACATACAAATCATACTTTCATAATTTCTCAATGTAGTCTCTTACATGATTCTAAGACATATGCCACTGGAATATCCTTTTGAAAGCTTGGTATGTCATAATCGTTAAAAGTTTAAGGGCGAGTTTTAGGGTCAATTTCACATGAACCCCAGGCTTCTTCACTACATTCCAATTGTTTTTCTCCAAATGATTCTTTCAATGGCACGAATAAATAATAGTCACAGATTCACAATTCAGCTTTATAAGGAAGGTTTCTCAGTTCAACTTATTGATAGTTAAGATTATGGAGTGAGATCTAGCATTATCTTTTTTTTTAGGTAGGCAATACTTTTACTGACTAGCAACTAGCAATAGTAAACCACATCCAATGATATCCAAGTTGAACATTCAGTCAACAACCTCAGACCCCTTCGAGTACTGACTGGTCTGAAAGCAAGACAATCAATCAACATGGATTGACCATTCCAAAGCTGATTCCCACTTTCAACAAAATTTCTTCAACATTGAAGTGATTACATGATCACGTTCAATAAGCTCTCGAACTACATGAATGTTGTACTCTGTATGACTTGTGATCGACCTTCGTTTTCGACATATTTTCATGCCCAAATATATATATACTCGACTCTGGGATTGTGTACTGTCCACAGATCATGACTCCAAACAAGCAGGAATTTCCGATTATTTAACATCTACAATAATTTAAAACTTAATAATTATACATTGTGCAAAATATGATTTTATCTGCTGCTCGGTCATGGCTATACAGTGGACAGAGTAGAGTGCGGTTCGCTGACTGAGCTGTTTCTTCACTCCTCACAAACCAAAAACCAATCCCCCATTCTATCATTAAGTCCTAAACTGCGTGCCAAGCTAAATTATTGTTTATATTTGATTAACTCTCATAGTTGTGGTTATGAACTGATGCAATTTTAATGATACATTATAAAGAAAAAAACATTTTAATTGCAATTTTTGGTAATAAGCAAAGATTATACACATTTTCTATTGGGGAAAAAAAACTGTCCTGGGCATTTGAAGTAATTGTTACCTTCTCATGCAGTCTAAAGCTTTTTGATATTCATGTTCTGCTAAGTCGTACTCCATTGAGAGAATATTCACTTGCTCCAGTGTGACAGACATTCCAGTTCTATCCTTGGCACTTTTACAACTTGTGAACCGCAGGCCTAAATAAACAATAAGACATTATGTTAATAGGCTGAAGTAGGAATTCACCTTGTGACAAAAATTAAATAATCTTTGCATAAACATTTCTGACCTTTCATTCTACGACAGATGTGTCCAGCTAACTGGAGTATATTCACATTCTTTGACTTGGAAGAAGATACTTCATATTTCAATTGGCCAATCAGATCATTCAACGAATGATGCCTCCCTCTTGCAGATCCTGAATCAAATTTTTCTAAATTAATTTTTTCTTTTAAAAATATTATATATTAATTCTACAGAATTTAGTTAAGGTGCAAACACCTATTGTTTTTTATCATTTCCTTACCTTCCTGAGGTTTCAAGCCTTCTTGAGGCTTATCATCAGAGATACCTGTAACAAAAAACTAAAGACTAGAGAATAGCCATACACAAGGTCAAGCAAAGCAAGAAGCGAGAGGACGTTTATCGGCGACATCAAGTTGAATTCAAAGCCAAATGTAAGTCTGCAATTATTTCCCAACAGTAATCATATCATCGGTAGAATAAATGTTAATCAATAAGTTACGTTGACGGGTAGAGGCTGAGATGGCCGAGCAAGTTGGAGCAAAGTTCTCAGATTGTTTGATTCACATTCCCACCTGTCATTTAATATTTATTTCTCAAGTTTCAAAAACTGAGATTAGACACTTCCATTCTGGTTAGTGTGGGGTGAAAACATTTAGGTACCCATGAAGGGTTGACAAAAAGAAACACAAGGCCCAATTACAGCACTAGTTTCTCCATCAATAACAATATCAATAAATTGGCAGATCGCTTACTGTAAACCCTCCTTAACAATGGAAAGAAGCATATCTTAGCTACCATTTTCTATTGATAAAGTAGTATTGCAATGTTTTACTTTTTACAGAGTTAAGTTTCACAACCAATTTCTAGGATAAACTCAGTTAGGTTGAGAAACTATTTTTTTTTTATTATTTTTTTTTTTTCTGTTCTTCCCTACCTTGACTTTAAGGCTATATCGTATTTTCCCGGGCCAGAGGGTGATGGTGGGGAATTTAAAATGCCCTCTGGCATCGGCACGCGAACTCATAAGTTTTTTCAATCTCAACAATTGGTTATCTGGTTGCCAGGCAACTCGCAGCGCTGTGCACTCACGCTAGCCCATTCGGCCACCCCGCCCCCTAGGTTGAGAAACTTAACCATATAAAAGGATTTTATTAGGTTGTGCAACCATATTGATCTAACATGTTAGAAATTTTTTACTAAACTATAGCAGAGCTCCCATGACCAAAACTGATTGAAGTTTCTCTCAAGAGTAACAATCAGTTCTTTAGCCACTTTCTCATTACTTTACAGGACACTCCACATATATTTAGTTGAATTAATGGGAATGGTATTATGGAATTAATGGTAATTCATCTTTTAAAGTTTCGACATCAATAACAAACAACACTCGAAGTAAAATTGAAAGTAATGTCTTTCCTGGCAGACCTAGCAGAAAAATGTGTTAACTACAATCCCGCCGACTTTGTTCAAGAAACTTAACTGAGTAAAAGGGTCTATAAAGACTATTGTGATCTCCCCAGGTTATTAAAAAACAAAGTACTTAGCTACAATTTCAAGGACAAAGCTTTGATTGAGAAATGCTTTAATGTAATACTTCTTTAGCTCTAATAAAATAATTGTAATTGTTTTTAATATGAAAAGGAAGGAAAATCACTATCTTCCTAAACATTGAATTTTAGTAACTGCCTAATAGATAAAAACTCGACTGCATTATTTTTTTCTTTTCTTTAATTTTCTTTTATTTCTTTAATTCAATTTAACATAAAAAATATTGTTTTTTTAAAATGTCAATCATTAAGAAAGCTTTAATCAGAAACTTGAAATGTATGTTTAGGTTAAAGTTAATTTTTCATTAACTTTTTTCAAATTAAGAGTTTTTTTCTAATCTCTGGGATTAACTGAAATTATTTTACTTATTTGTAATAACAACAAACTAATTTCATATGATCACCATTTCTATTAATTTTGAATATAATTTGAATAACTGCAGCCAACTTGCTCATGGATAACGATCTCATCAAAATCACCCAAATTATTCGCAATGAATTAGGAATTCAACAAGATTGATCCTATGTATTCCATTAACCTCTCTTCTTCCTTGTGGATGACAGTCAATGGTTTTTTAGTTTTATTTAATAAGTATCACTGAAGATTAGCCGAGCCACAAAGCATTTTCTTTTATTTTATTATACAAAAGCTTTTTACATACACAAAGCAGTTAATCTGATGCAGACTTATGCAAGATCTAACTATAACAAACCTCTAACGGTGGTGCATACTGATGGTATCCCTATCTTCCTGAACCTGTGGAAATAATCATTGAGTAGAAGAAAATTGTCAGCATTGCTCCGCTCCTGAGGTTTAGCCGTGCCTAGGTTTTCAGCAAGTGTTGCTTCTTCGTTAATACCCACATTGAAGAAGACTGGAGTCACATGGAAAGAAGTCCCAGCTGACAGCGGGAGCAAAGAAAGTACCGAGTCTGGAGCTGGGATTTGGACTTGAAGTGAACAACGTGGTCCGATTACTCGTGGGCTATAACTTCCTCCTCTGAGGAAATCAAAGAAATAAATATAAACACTTTTAAATTATACATTTTTTAAAATCATTAACTAAATCAATTTGTAAAAACTAAATCGACAACCATATTGCATTGAATTTAAGGTGCATTTTTTCTATGGATGTTGTATTTTTATAACAAAGTGTATCTTAAATTTAATGGAGTCTTAAATCTAAAGTCCAAATTTTGAATTATACAATTTTCCATCTATAAAGCCTTTTAAAATAATATTAGGTCAGTTCATTGTTTGAGCTTTTATTTATTCATCATGAGGTCAATCCTCTGTGTAAGGAAGTTTAGACAGTTTTTTCTGCCCCGATCAGTACTCAACTACAGTCTACTTTTGATCTATTCAATTACTTGTAGGATTTATAAATTTAACATAGTTTCAATCAATCAGCACTTTGTTCTAACCTTAGTAATTATCTCTTTGTTATAACTTTGTAATCACATGTTAAGTGAACAATAAATCAGTTTATACCTTTTTTAAGAAAGCATTGTAATCTTAATTTTAATTTATTTAGAATCTTATATTGGCGATGAGGTGAATAGATTAAACGGGGAAGGAAGATGAAGACAGTATTATTGATCGAATGGCAAGGTTTTCTTTTAGGGAATACTCAAAAGATTTACTTTGGGAAGAATATTTAGAACAGTTTGAGTTAATGTAACGTGTAAAGAGCTTCAGAGGAGCAGGCAGCATGATGGAAGCGGCGTGGAGGGATCTTTTCCTAGCGAGCATTAGGGCAGAGCACCTAAGGACTCTCAGCGACCAGGTATATCCAAAGAAATGGGAAAAACTGTAGCTTTGAAGAAGTTAAGGCAACAGCAAATCGACTATTCAAGCCTACGACCACTGTGTTTGCATCTCGTTTTGACTTTGAAAGAGCACAACGGAAACCAGTTGAGCCACTTATTCAATATTTAAATAGACTAAAAACTCTATCTTAAAAATGTAATTATGGAAAGGGCCTGGGTAAGTGTGTATCAATCATTTTGCTGTGGGAGCTAATTTTACCGATTTTGAAGTCGAAATATGATAAAGATGGGCGGACGGGAAAGATGCTGAAAGGAAGCCTATCACTGCTAATGCTCTGATAGAGTTAGCATCATCGATTGAGCGTGCTAGAGGAAAGGTAGCCAGCTCTTCTTCACAGCAATTGAACAAGGACCTTTTCAGGGTTGATAAAAATGATAATAATAAAAAATGTCGTAACTGCGACTGGGTTGGTGCTCATGTGCAAAATCCTTGCCCTGCGAGGAAAGCCATCTATAGAAAGTGGTTTAGAAGAGGATACTATGCGTGTTGTTGTCGAGAGAAGAGAGATAACATGATAAGAGGAATCAAACAGGAAGTGGATATGGAAGAACAAGATTCGGATGCTGCAAGTTGTGAAGGTAATGAGATAAAAGCTATTCATATAACTGTTCCAAGGGCTGCTATTGATGTGAGGTTAAATGGATTCCGCAGCCTAATGGAATTTGATTCAGGAGAGAATGCCATTTGGATTATCATCTAGTCCAGCTGAGTTCCAACGGTTTATGGATAATTTAATGCGTGGACCTATTAGATGATCTCGTAATAACCAGACGGCATAAAAATTCTCACTTAAGTATTTTATAAGAAGTTTTGAGGCGAATTTTTATCATCCTCTGAGAAAATAAGAATGTAGACGGCAAGCCCAAGTAATGAGACTTATTGGTCACAGGCTGGAGTAAACTAGGTGCCCTGATTTTCTCCTTAGTCTTTCTAATGGCAGAATATAAAAATAAAACTAACTGTATTTTTTTAATACCTTAAGTATAAAATAATGTTATCAGATGTTTATTGTTATCTTACAGATACCTATATATTACCCACTGTTTATATGTAAACACACTCTCATACATCTACCTATGATTCGAATGTCAACTTGTGCCTTTCTTTATTTTCATTTCAAGACTCAATAGCAATCTAATTTAATTAACAACAAGAAGATGATTAACTTTTTATGACAGACAAATGTCACTAAATTGTTTATTATAATTATTCTTACAAGGCTGAATGCCCCAGAATAAAATTTACTTTTCTTTATTTTATTACTAAAAACATATTGACAGCCACACTGCAAAAGCCTTTAAGAACAAAAACTAAACATTTTTCAGGAGATGAAAAAACTGCATAATTTTTGTTCTATGAGCATTATATTTTTGGTTCAATTTTTTTTTGCAGGCAAAGAAGTAATGCTCTATGTAACTTTTTTGATCGTATTTGTGCCAACTAATCTTTTAGAGCAATTACTTCTAATTGATAGCTTTTTAGTTACTTTGAAAAACAGGTATTAGGCAAAAGTAATCAAATTTATTATAGTAACATCCATCACTTTGTAAATAACAATTAAGTCATGACAGGAAAAAAGTTGGTTTTCAAAATGTAGAGTAATGATACTTCAAATGAAAATTTGTAAATGATTTGACTGGAAAGCGAGTATTTGCTCACATAGGCTATTCACTTTTTTGTCTCCCACTGTAGGGGTGGCACAAACAGAGGACATATGTCCGATTCTCCATAAAATATCACTTATCACCTTTAAGCAACTGACCCTTCAAGTATAATAAAATAATTAATATATTATAATAAAATTATAAGCTATATAATTTTCTTGACACACAGAACATTGAAATTCTATCAATACTTTACATTGAAGCAATTACTTTGAATTTGGCGATGAATGGACCAATGTGAATGTGACAGTTTTCAGGTCCTCGATTGCAACAGCCATGTCTCCCCACATGTCGATTTCATCACCATAGTAACTAAGGAGACCTTCAAAATAGGCCAGCGGACCAACTGTAGTCAGCACGTGGAGGAACATTGTGTCTGCTTTTTGACACCACAGCCGTGCCATCAGTCCCGTCACCAGGGATGTCAGCTATTAAAAAAAAAAATTAAATAATTCTTTTCTTGTACTTGGTAAACATTAAGGCAAATATCATGACTTTAATGTAACACCAGTAATCAAAATAATAAATAAAAAAGAAATCAATGATTAAAGCAACAACTATTACCTAAAGTCATATTAAATCAAATCTTCTCATTCATGCTATAAATATAATAAAAAGTACTTTACAGAAAAATAAAATTATGTATTCAAACTATTTCCTTGATTAGCTGCTTTTATTTTGAGTTAATGACAGTATAATGAATAAAGAAAGATGAAGAGAAAATCTTTAAAATTCTTCTCTTTGTCATTTTCAGAGCTCAGCTGGATTATTTATTTAATTCTTTCAATAATTGCCTTTAAATTATTTAATTACTTAAAGGCTCCCACAATGGAGAGAAAAGAATGGGAATACATTGTTGAGAAAGTACAGGATAATAAAAAAATATTTTCATTTCATTTTTCATTTCACATGGGGAGGTTATGAACGTGGGATCACCGATTTCAATGAAACTTTTTATTGGTGATTCTAGATAAAAAAAATATTTAACCCATGTTCAAGGTTCAAGGGTCAAAATTTTATTATTTGTTTATATTAATGTTTTCTGACTTTGCTCTGCATAGATTTCTAAGATATATATATATATATATATATATATATATATATATATATATATATATATATATATATATATATATATATATATAAATTTGTTTTTTTGTGTAAAATAAGAAAACAATATTGCCAATTGTATTAAACAAATTCTAAAGTATTATAAATTACAAAAACTCAAAGACGCTTTGTTTTTTGTTTCAAAATACTTTCAATATTGTACCCACTCTACAACTGAATGACAAATATATATTTTTTTCTAAATCGGACAGGTATTGAAAGTAAGATTGCATTCACAAAGTCTGGTATTTTGTCGAGATTCGATCTGAAAATAAGAATGAAGTAAGTATGGATTGTACATATTATACACATATTATGTCATGAAATATATTTTTTTTAAATAAACACAGATGATATCTGTTTTTCGCACTTCTAAAAAACCTTGAACAAGAATTTTCTAAACCTCCAGGTTTTGACATTCTTCTAGGAGCCTCACTACTAGGTCCCCAAGATTTCCTACGGACTACAATATCACAAAATATCTATTTTACATCTCCCGTTACCGATCTTTTCAAAAATTGGTCGTTTCGTTGCCGTTTCCATAATGAATCACAAACTGAAATGTGTGTTGTCAAGTTGACTTCGGTTGGAGAGTGAGACACCCAAATATTAAGCTAGGAAACATAGCCGAGCTTGTGCAAATGGTTTTCTACGCTTGTGTGCGACAAATTTAGGGCCATAGTAATCCCTCGCACTGATTGGGCAGAATTTTGATCAACAATGGCTTTAACATTGTTCATTTCAATTTCATGTGGGCGACCAGACCATTGAGCATCATTGATGTCAAAATTTCCCGAATGAAATTTGGCAAACCAATTTTGACAGGTGCGTTCAGTTAAGGCATCATCCCCCTAAACACTGCAAATGCTTCTGCAGCACGCTTACCTTTTTTAAAATAATGCAATAAAATATGCCGATAATGAATGATATTTTCTTCCATATTCACAGTGCTATAGCAAACACAATATTAAGCTAGTTGTAGCAAGAGTTAACAGATATAGTTGTTGACATCATACAAACAGGATAAACAATTCACTGTAGGGATTAATTCATCAGATAAGAAGTGTATCATAGTGACATAAAAATAAACAGAAAAACCGAAAGAACTTATTTGCTAACCCAATATATTAAAAAAAAACAAACAAACACAAAACTCAAAATCAAAACAGCATGAAAATCTTAGGTAACATCATTAATTCATAGTAACAACAATGATACAAGAAATATCTACTCACAGCATGAGAAAAGCAAACATGCCTCCGATAGCGAACATTACAAGACCTCTGGGCAGATCGTTTATCCTCCTGCAGCCTGAAAACACTATGCGTCAGCCGAGCTGTCTTCAAGAGTCCATCCATGGCTTGGCGTAGTTTCTTCATGCTTGGTCGCAGTTCACGACTCCAATCGCTCATGTTAGCTAATTCTAGACCTGTGGTTAGACTGACCTCAGCTCAATTGGGACTAAAGAAATGATATAAAAATGTGGGAAGCATTTAGTCTTATATGCTCCCCTTCAAAAAATGTATGTATTTTTAAGATACTTCATTATATTCTTCATTCATGTAACACTTAAAAAAAAAAAATCTTTCAAAGCTTTAAAATAGAAAATTAAAATTAAAACTAATTTTAATACAGTAGTTGTTTGAATACAGGTCAAACTCAAATATAAGTCAACCCTCCATTTTGAAAATAATTTTATGGGAAAAATAAATTAAATTACTATAACAAGAAATCAATTTCAAAAGAGAATAAACATATCTCAAAAAGAATCAAACATAAATAAATTATATTATATAGAGATAAATAGCATCATATCTTAAAAATATTACCATAAAGCTTTAAAATTAGAAAATAGCTACCTAAACTGAAATTCCGAACTTATAAAAAAATATTGATTAATAGTTATAAAGAAAAAAATGTATTAAATTAGTTAAATCGCATAAGACTATGTTTTTTATTTTAATATTTTTTCAAATAGTGGAATGAGTTAAATAAAAAAGAAACATAAAGTAATAAATTTAAAAATAATCTGTTTAATTTGTTTTGGTGTTTCTGAGTTCCATTTAAACTTAGCAAAATATTTCCATTAGTAATCCCATGAATTTATTTGATTATTATCTTGTTTCTGCTCACACTTATCTGATTTGGTTATTATTATCAAAACTTGATTCTGAGCACCATTTGATCAGATATTTTGATTAGGTTTTATGTTACCTTCATTATGTATATTCATTCCCAAATCTCAATTAAAACACACCATTTGCCTTCGATATATGTATCATCTCTGATTCTAATTTCAACAAATTTTTCATTCCTCTTGAGTTCCTCAAAATGTGTGATTAATAAATTATGAATTTATAAACTATATATAAAGTGAATGAATTATTACTTGATATTAAAATAAGCTGTATAGAGTCTCTTGTTATAAAAGCAGAACTGAAAATAAATTTTAAAGTGATTTAAACTTTATTCAAACACAAATTTTCCAAGATCAAATCCGAATTTAAGTCAATCCCAAATATAAGTTGAACCCTTATTTCATGAGAAAATTTCTGAAAAAAACCTCAATTTATACTCGGACAAATATAATAATTAGATGAATATAAATTTATATACAGAAACCAAACAAGATAATCTAATACCTTCAGTAAATTTGTTCCTAGGAGGAGGTTTCGGAGGCACATTTGTGACTTCACCATTAGTTTTTAATGATGTATTATCATTCTGTTCCTTTTGTACCTGTTCAGAACCATCAGAAGCTGGTACTTGCGGAGAGCAAAGTTCACTTCTGAAGCTCTGGGATCGTCCGATACTCTTTTGTGTATTTCTAAAAGTATTAAAAACTAATCAGAAACATATTAAAAAAATAAATAAATAAATTCTAGAAAGGAAATAAATAAATTAGAAAGGATTTTTAAATTATGATGAATAGGAAAGATATAGGAAAATTATTTTTAAAAACTGCCTAATAATGACATTTAGTTTAAATAAAAAGATGAGATGTTTAAACAAAAATATAACGGATATAAAATGTAAGCAATATAATCTCCAAAAACTATTCGGTGAAAGATACCTGAGCCTAACAGCAGGCGAGCTGCAGCGACCACAGAGGAACTTGACCTTGCTAACGAGGCACATGACAGAGGCTTCGATGTTCAATTGGGTCAGATCCCAGGGCTCCGGCTCCTCCGTGGGCCGATAATAGTTGGCCGATGGTGAGCTACACATAGCATGGGTATCCAACCACAATCCAGGATCTTTCTTCTTTTCTTCAACTTCTCCATTCTCTTGACTATGTTCTTCAGATTTCTTGATGCTTTGCTAGAAAAGGAAAGCAAAAATTAACTTGATAGAAGTGACTAGTGCACTATTTTAGACAAAAATATTAAATATTCTTTAGTAAAAAAGTGTTTAAATTTATTTTTTAATCAATACTGGTTCATAAAAATCGTCAAGATGGAATAAATATTAAACTCCAAGAGATGAATTATTAAATATAATAAATATATTTAAAATCGGCAGAAATTAATATTAAACTTATTTAGTGTTTTTTTTTTTTTTGTCAATTTTCAAGCCACGCAGCTATTGGATAAGAGTATTTCATTCATATTGAAAACAAAAAATAAATTAAGAAAATCTATATCATGGCTGCACTTGTACAAACAAACCAAATATAGTAGTTAATGGATTTAATTCAATAACTCATAAATTAAAAAAAAAAAACTTGAAAGTCATTAACACACAATAAATACCTCAAGATTGTAGTTCTCATCAATGGGGGTAGATGATTCATCAGGAAATGTGAGGAAACCCTCCTGGCTAGGGCTGTCAGGAGAACCAGTAAAACGCAACTGCTGGGTTATCCTCTTGAACGGAGAGGGCGTTCCCTCTGTTCGGCTAACCTTATGCTCTTCAATGAACTTCAGAGCCTCCTCGACCAATCCAGGATCCCAGAGGGTCAGCAGGGTTCTTGTCTATAAACATAACAAGAGACATGATAGTTTTAAAAAAATGTAAAAAATAATATTTTTTTAAGATACTTAAAAACTTTTAGATCAATTTTAATTAAATATATAATAATATATAAACCTCAACTAAAAAGTCGATTTTGTACATATGTTAATACTAGGTATAAAACAATGTAAAAAGTTTATGTATATTTTTTTCAGATTTATGTACTAATAAAAGTTATATATAATAATATACAGGGTGTCCTGTAAGTAGAGAGAAATATTTAAAGGAATTTTTTTTTAATGTTATGTTTTGGGTTGAATAGGAAACGATAACTAAAAACTATTTAATTTAAGTAATTAGAAATGGTTTTATAGTAAACTAATCAAAATTTAATTCAAATGAAACTGAAGTTTAACTAATTTAAAGATTAAAAGTTCTTTCATAATTATTAATTAAACTGCTATTAATAATTGAACTAATTAACTAATTGAATTACTGATGTTTAAAAAATTAGCCACATGAAAAGAGTTTTCTAAAAATGAAGTTCCAGTTCCAGTTCCAAATTGTTGACTAAGTTAGATTTCTCAATGCCAGCATGATAGTTAGTTATATTGGTTCTTTATTCAACAGCAGACCTGCTTTTTTCATGGTGCATGAAACCTTCAGAAGGTATTCTGTAAAATTACATTTTTAAATTTTTAGTCGCTAATCCGCAGTTGGCAAAACCTGATACTAGAGATAAGTAAAGATCTCTGTAAGACAAGTTCGTAAGGTAATTTTTCTTTATAAATTTATACAATTAAGTTCCTTAAGTCTCACCTTCATGACTTTCACAGAAGATTGCAAAATGTGAATCTAAAACAAATTTTAACCTTTTAAATTTCAACTTTTATTTTTCACTTACTCTAGAGACACTACTGCTTGAATAATAAGTCTTCAAGAATCCTCGCATATGCATCTTCCATGAAGGGGAAAGTGCATACTAGCAACTACTAAATTGAATAATTAATATCATAAATTTGAATAACATTGAACTATTATCCTTGGAGCCAGAACCCAAAAAGCAACCTCATCACAGGAGAATGTTTGAATGTAAATTACGAAAGTGTATGATATTCTGAGTAAAATAAACCTCGTCTGCCATTCCAGAGCTGCTGCCTTCAAAAATGAAAATTTTTTTATTTTTAAAACTTTTATAAATTGGCTCAAACTTCTAAAAAAACAAAATTGCTAACGCAGGCCAGCAAGGAAAAACTTTTTACAGCCAAAAGAGACAGATTTTTTGAACTATTTTTTTGTTTTTTCGCCTTTAACTCCTAAACGGGGTACATTGAAATGAAAACCGCACTCTTCAAGAAATTAAAGAATGTTAAATTGTGCATCGAACGAGTACCTCAACTTAATAATATTCTTAGTTGGTATAGTATAAAACCATGGTCAACGAATGCTGATTTTTACCAAACTAGTACAAGACTGAGACAAATCACTATAAACAGTCTTGCAGCTTTAGAATGAGTTCTCTAAGAGAAAAAACTGATAGAGTCAAAGTTGTAGAGCATCAAATTCCGCATCCGCGACTTTGATTCTTTGAGTTTTATTTAGTAAAAACTTGAGTTCATTGACCTTGGTATTCTACTATACCACTTGACCAAATTATTAAGTTTAGGTACTCGTTGGATGCACAATTTGATGTTCTTTAATTTCATAAAGAGTACGTTTTTCCACTTTGATACACCGTTAAGGAATTATAGATAAAAACAAAAAGGAAATTAAAAAAAAATCGGGTTTTTTTTTCAGTAATTTTTTTTCCTTTGTAGCCCGCTTTAACAACTTAAACGTTACTGGTCTAATATCTCTCCATGATAAATGTCACAAATTCAAAAGCGAAATAAAAACGCACCTTGATGAATATTTTGCAAGTTTCAACAATTTTGGAAAATGAGAATAATAGGCTTTCTCAGAGATGGAAGAAGTTAATAGAGCATTTGGCATATAAGAGTAAATCAATCTTAAACAACAAATAAAAATAAAGAAGAAACTTATGAGACACACTAATACATTCAAATCTTCACCTGCGATGAGGTCACTTTTTGGCCTCCAGGGCTATAAAGGTTAGAGTATTGAACATTTAATAATAAAAAAAAAAAACAGGAAAATCTAGCTTAAAAAATAAAGATATTCCACAGGGTAGCTACCAGGCAGTTAAAGTAAAATCGCTTGGCATTTCTCTATTTAATGATAGTTTTCCCTAACCAATATGTCTGTGGACACAAATATTAAAAATTAACAATTTATAAATAAATTTATTTATTATACGTAAAAGAAAATTGACTACAAAATGATTTGAGTAAAAAAAATCAGTGTTTTAAATAACAAATATAATGTTTTAGAGGAAGCAATATATTAAGCTTGATTAGGATTTTTTATTTTTGAAAACTAAATTTCTAGTAATTTATTTTTATTCCCTTTGTTATTTCCATAAAATGAGAAGAGGTAAAAGTTGATATTTGATTTTTAACATTTAATTATATCCACTGTATATTTATTTCCAATTTGAATATAAATACTAAAAAAATTCCTACTTTTGCCTGTTTTGAAAATTCCTTGACTTTTTCCATATTTCCAGGTTGGTCACCAACCTGTCATGCCACCTGTAAGGTTGGTTACTTACCCCACATTATCCTAATAAATATTATTTGTATAATATAAGTAAAAATCTTACTTTGGCGACCATATCGTCACAGATTGGAAGCATGCCTATAGTTTTCTTTTCCTTGGCCAGCTTCATTAAAGACTTCATACCATCAACGACTTCTCTCCTCAACTGCTTGATGGCCTGGATGGCGTCATGAGCCATTGATATCTTATCAATAACAGGGTTCTCACTTTTGTTCTTGATAGGAGACTCCTTCACTTGCTGCAACAATCTAAAAACAAACCTGTTCCAATGCCATGTCACATGGGATATTTTTTAATTGCAGCAAGAGAAATAAAATAGAAATAAGAAAAGATCAAAATATAACATACTTTATCAAACCACCATTTTTTGATTTGTGAGAATGAGCAGTGAAAGCTCCCACTGTTATGATGTCATAAAAACCACATTTCTTCAGAGTATCATTTTGAACCCACATCCTCTGGAGATGAAGATTAACAGGAGCGAATTCTAATGATCTGTCAAATTTACGAGAAGAAGGTTTGAAAAAACTACCTGTAAGTCAAAAGACGTTTGTTCTAAATACGGATGAAACTCATTAATGTATTATACACTAAAAGAGAATAGCTTAAATTGAAAACTTTTTTATAAGTTTTTTTAAATATTAATTATTCAAATATAAATATTTCACAACCATAATTTTTAGAATTAATAATATCTTTAAAAAATAAAACTTAACAATTTTTTCTTAATTTCCAAAGATCATTCATAAGATAATACTAAATAACATGTTAAAATAAGTCTAACAATTTATATTCCTTTTATTTTTCAACATGTAAAATGAAGGCTTGAGATTAGACATATCATAACAAATTCATATTTAAAGAGGCACAATAAAAGAGTTAACAGTTAATAAAACTCATAATATAACTTTTAACTTATTTTTATAGTTAGATAACTTTTATAAGATTACATTTCTTATTTTTAAAAGAACTCAGGACTTAAAACATTCAGGAATTTTAAATAAACAATATTATTACTTAATATACTACAAATAAATCATATCAATGGGTAAAAGCACAACCCTCCTGTCTAGTTTTTAATAAATTTCACTTTTTCATCATTTCATGGTGTATGATTGTTGTAAAAAAAAGGTTTTTTCCTTATAAAATTTCAAATCTGTGAAATAGGGTAAAAGAAAAAAAAAACTACAGCTAATCTTAAAACAACTACAAATTTACAAGTCAAAAAAACTAGACGTAAATTGTAAACATTAATAAATAACTTTGTGATTGGAAGAATTAGATTAAACACAGTTTATCTTCTGCAATAACTTGCAGCTTTCAAACTTCTTAAGCTCTTTCTAAAAAAATATATATATATTTTGAACATACAATAGTTGCGTTTTTAGCCATTGAAATATTTTTTAGGCTGTAAATTATAAATAATACTGACCTTTATGAGCTTGAAGGTTTTCTTTAGCTTGAGAATAAAGATGAAGCAGGTGAAGGTGCCTGTCGAGGAGTTCGACCTGAAGTGAATGCCACGGTTCAACAAGTTCACCCATTCCAGACACCTCTTGCAGGAGCTCTTTTTCTTCATTAATCCAGAGTCCGCTAAATTAAATTTTACATTATTAAAGTAAAATAAAAATAAACATTAGAAAAATAAATATATAATAAATTAAACTGTGATATTGATGTAGCATAAAAGATTAAATAGGTCTTATTTTAAGTAATACTAAAGTTTGATTCTTTTGAGGCTGCGAACTTTAAGGGAAAATGCAGCTACAAATTTTAAAGTGATATATAAAATACTTAAGGTTGGTCAATTATTCCAAAGAATTTTGACCAAACATCCAGAAGAGGGAAAAGCTTATCAGAGAACAATCAATTGAGTCTGATCTGCTAAACGAAGAGCACAGCTGACATAGCAGAATAAATAAATTGTCTGTCGTAGCCAGATTTGAACCTGACTCCAGATTGCCTGGTCCACAGATAGGTATGTATGTTTCATCATGTAAATAATCAAGCAGCACATAAAATGCACCATTTACTTTTTTAGGAAAACTCTATTTACATCATGTTCTACCTTTTTTTTTTTGCTGGTAAGTTTTGGATAGTCAACAATCAAATAGTACAAATACTTTTTCTAAACTTTCTCTAATTTAATAAGATATATATTTTAAAGTTGAGTTACTTTCAGAGTTCAATACAAACTGAATAATTAATACACCTTTTATTGTATATTTTCAAAAATTTTAAACCAGGTATAATTAATAGTTTTAGGTCTAAAATGAATAGCAGATAGATACCATATCATGGGTCATAAATTTTGAAAATGTCTTCTTCTAAAAGTCATAAGTTATTGAAGACCGACATTAAATTAATAAATAATTGTTTTAATTAATAATACCTCCTTTTATATTATTGAATGAAAAATAAATGAAGTGAAAATTGTGTGATGTGCTGCTCACTAGATTTTTTTTTATCATTCTTGTTATAGTGACTGAAATGTACAACAGTTATTTTAAGCCATAATTAATAAACTAATTTATTGTACAGTTACCATTATTAGTAAAACAAGGAGTGATTATTGATTACAAATTGTGATTTCAATTACTTTATTTTACCTTTCAAGAAAGAAAACATACAAAGTATTGGATTGTGACTGCTAATAAAGCAAACTGATGTATTAATTATTCAGTTTATATTGAACTATGAAATTACTTCTGTATGTGTGCTGTTTCCTTAAGTTAAAGAACAATTATGATATCTATCATTGATGGAAGTTACTCGGCTGTTCTACATATTGGTTAGGGGTGGCAAGTTGGCACCAATGAAAACCTTAAAAATGATTGTGTCCTGTCTATTTATGACTCATAATATGATATCTATCTGTTATAGATTTTAGATCTAAAACTATTAATTATGTCTAGTTTAAAATTTTTGAAAATATACAATAAAAGGTATATTAATTATTGAGAGTTCTAAGTGAAACTCCTAGATGAACACACCTCCCTGATGAAGACCTGCAAAGTCGGGTCGAAACGTTGGCTTTCAATAAAATAGTTTTACCACTATTTAGCCTATTTATGACAGCAACCCCGGACCATCTCCTTCCTTTATAATGCAACGGTCAACTATTAAATATTCAATAAAAATCATTTAATTATAGATATATCGAGTTAAGCAAAATATTGAAAGCCTTAAATAATAAATTTATAAAATCAATGATTTACAGAGGCAATTCCAGTTATCTGATTTTGCAACTACACACACAATTTTGCTAGACTTGATTATTTTGACTCAGGAGACCTCAAAACGGGTATTTGCATGCACAATTGCAATACATTCCCTAACTATATATTTCATATACAGGTAAGTAAAGGTAACAACAGAAGGATTTCACTTGAAAAAATTAAAATATAGGCACTTAATAAAAATAAATTTTACTGTTTCAAGGCCAAACAGAATATAGAAGTATTTGTCAAACTCTGAGTACTTGTAACACTCTATCTTTGAATAGACAAGGAAACATTCCACTCTATATCTGTCAAAACAACTACTTAAGCCTTAACCAGATAATAATGAAAAGCATCGAAAATAATACTTACAGAAGCTGCTGCGGAAGTTGGAAACATAACATGCTCTCCGCCATAACCTCATGCACACTTATATCACCACCAAGGCCTGAATGGAACCGATACGTCTGAACTGTTGTGTTTCCAAATACATGTTTAAATGCTCCCTGCCTAGGTAGCTTCAATTTACAGCCAAGTCTTGGAGGAAGAGACTGAGATCTACGATGGCAGTAGACCTAGAACAAAGCAAGGCAAAATAAAGCAATTATTTCTTCATATTTCAAATAATATAAACTCTTTAGTAAAAAAAATAAAAATAATATTACAATTCATTATGTTAATATTACATTTCATTAACAGTTTTAAAACCAAGGATTTAAGGAAATAGTGTTAAGATCTTGTAAAAAAATTTACTGATCATGGATTGGAGAGGAAACAAAAAAATCAATGGATGGAAACTGAAGAAAACCCATTTAGAGGTTTGATATTATTTATCTAAAAATAAATTAAATAATTGAAGAATTCATCTTTATTGCTAAGTAGTTGGAGGTAAACATGGGAAAACAACCCTGTTTCTTGATTTTGTATAAAAGGATGAACTCATATTTTCTTTTGACAAGGTTTCCTCTAATGGTCATCATACTGAGATGAAAGTGAAAATTTTTTCTCTGTTTTATGGTTGTGCTGTCTGGGTCTTCTGGCCCAATCAATCAACAGTTGAGGTAATTACCTACATCAGCCAGGCTCAAACCAGAGACCAGGAGCACAAAAGCATAGTGCCTTACTCACTGAGCTATTTGGGTGAAATTGATCTTAAAATATCAGACATTTGAAATTTTCTGACGTTTAGAAATTTTATTCAGAGGTACAATAAATTAATATATTATAAACAAACCAGAGAGTCATGGTGGGATACAGTTCTAAGTGGCGTGCTCTCAGTACTTGCATTACTGTCTTCCCGCTCCAGAGACCACACATGGACGCTGAGGAAGCCCACCGTTGTATTGTTGTTTCCCTTTAGAGGTATCCTCAGTCTGTCTGTTTCCTGAAGAGAAGATAGAGTGACACAAGCACTTCCTGAAATACAAAATCCATTTATGCAATAACATTATGTTATAAAAAAAAAATTTACATTTCACAATTGAGAATTAACCGTTTGTATGAAAAAAAACTTTGGGATCTTAAAATTAATTTTCTAAATATTGGAAATGTCTCATTAAAGAATAAACTAGTATTATATTCATTATTCAATGCAATGTGTTTTGATAAGATCATTGACATTGTTTTTATAATCCATATCAAAGTTGTCAAAATATTTGTTCCAAGATAAAAAATTTAATTTATTATCATCGGACCCTGTAGAATCTGTTTCATTAATTAAAATTATTACACAGACATGAGCAAAATTATTGATCTTCAAAATTATGAATATTCACAGAAAAGACCACTTTCATAACAAAACATCTAATCTAATTATTAAATAGATGAAAATAGTGAAAAAAAAAAAAACAATATTTTGATTTTCAACAATAAATTCAGAAAATAAGTATACCTATAGGAGTTGCTGTTTGAGACACTGTCTCCCTGACATCGAATGCTGTAAACTTTATCTTTGTTTCACCATTAAGTCCATCACTACTCCTGAAACTGATGGTACTAAGGAAACTAGGATTACTACTCCTCTGGAAATCGCAAATAACAAAATATACTTTTAAAACATAAAAAAAAAAATTGATGTAAGACAGCTTGAAATTGCAAAAGTCAATTCACAGCATTTCATACCTGAATTATTTCAGTATTAGCATATTTCAACCAAAGTGCAGCTGACGGTATGAAGACGTGTACAGCCAGCCCAGGATTGGGTGGGCGACCATTACCGTCGCAAAGGAGATTGTCACAAGCCAATGATATTTCACAAACTGGTAACTCACTAGGGTCTGAAATTGATTTTATAAAAACATAATTATTAATGATAATTTTTACTCTAGTTAAGCTCAAATTATGTGAAGGATTAAATAGGATTAGAAAAGTGAAAAGTTGTTTGACTGCTAAAGAGCTAATAAATGTTGAATAAGTTCAAATTTCTTCCTATAATCATGTCTACATATATATATTTATATTTTTTATATATTTATATTATTAAAATATATATATATATATATATATTTTTTTTTTATAGCCAGTTCTTACAACTATACCTGTAGGCCTCCCCTGATTAAGAGGGTAAGGGTCTAACTTCGGTGGGGACCAGCCGTATTGGGAAGTAGGGCCGGGATTCGATCATATGATCTTTGCTTTACTAGTATAGCGTGCTAACCACTCTGCTATACTGGCCCCATGTCTATATATAATATAATGTTAAATTATTTCAAAACTACTGCTATTAAAAATCTATATATGAGCCTTCAGTTGACAGAATCACAAATTCTAATGTCTACGTTTTTGAGTAAAGTCATGTAAGTGATATTTCTAGTAGGAAAATTTATAATATCTGTGCAGAACGTGAGTAAGTTGATTCCAGAGTGGGTGATTACAGTGCTGAAATATAGAACCATGAATAAAGGTTTACATTTTCTAACTAGAAATATCACTAAAATTAATAATAAAAAAATTTTGAAATTGGAGTTAGTCATTCAGTCAACCGAAAAGACCATATATCAAATTTTAACATTCATTGTAATATAGATAAGTTGGAAATACAGATATTTGGAAATTGTTCATTGAATTACATGAATACATCCAAATAGGTCATGATAAGGAAGGGTTTCCCACCCCTTAATATAATATTAATATATGTGTACTAACAAAATCATTAATGCTCCATTATTAGTGTTTAAAGAATTCAAAAATGCATTTGAAAATTATTCAATTTTACAACACAATTTTTTTTTTTGTACAAATTTTATAATCTTTTATTATAGCAAAAGATTGATTACCAATAGTATTCCCTCTTCGTAAACGCCACATATGAACATCAAGGTCGGGGTCATGACCTCTTTTTGTCTCTAACCGCTCCTGAAGCTCCTGCATCTTGGCTCGCATCTTATTGTAACTGACTAGCTGAATCGTATCAAGCCATGAGTCCCGTTCTGTCTCTGAGTTTGCAGCTAAGTGTTGGTCGAATCCTCCATCATACACTGAAAAAGTAAAGAAATCACATAATAGTCAGAATCATCGACAAATTATCTAACTATTGCTTTCCGATAAGATAAGAGAACAATAAACAAGGTAAATTAAACAAAACTATGTTGGTTTTTCTAATGAGCCTGAGTAAACACACACACAGATTTTTTTTTAACAACCGAATTATTTCAACAGACCAATAAATAAAATTTTAAATAAAAATTATAAATAAAATAAATCCATTTAATAATGAGTTTACAAATAATTTCACATTACTAGCCACCATCATATAATTTTCATTACATAGAATAGAAATATTTAATCTGATACAATAATCCTAATGAATAACAGCTGTCTACATAAAATAAAGATTACTTCTGGTCAAAAAAAACATTAGATTACGAAAAGTATATACAACAAATGAATAATGGTAAAAAAAAAAAAAAAATCATCTAATAGAAAAGCTAAAAATCTTAAACATAAATAAATAATAAAATAATATTAAATAAATAATAATAATAATATTCACCAAGACCTGGTCTCATTAAATATCATGATAACAGATGAGGTACCTTATTATCGATATGAGCCCAAACCGGTGCTTTTAAAAGAAAAGAAAATAATATATTGGGATCGATCTATAATTACAGACCACACGGTAGTTAATAACCAACCCGGACATTGTATTAATTGATCGGAAAAAACAAAGTGGATATGTCATAGATATAGCGGTTTCAACCGATGATAATATCAGAAAGACTATTTCTGAAAAGATTAGGAAATATCAAGAGTTGTGCCAAGAGCTTCGGCAACTTTACAAACTGAATCAAGTCCAGGTATATTCAGTTGTAATTTCCAGCAATGGCCTCATCCCAGACGATACCATTCGCTCTGTCGAAAATTTGAAACTGGCAGAGAAAATGTTGGAAGAAGGGCAAAAAGCAGTTCTCCTAGGCACAGCGAACATCGTCAGGAAGTTCTTAAATATAGTTTAAATTTTGAGCCTAACTCTTGACCTTGGTCTGGGTAGGTGAATATTTCTGGCAAAAGCCAAGAAAGTGTGAAATTCTAAAATAAGAATAAATGAAAATTGATTCTGTTATTTATATAAACACACACACATGTAGAAATTAATCTTCAGGAGATGTAGGCAATACGGTGATTCCAAAAGAGGATTTTATCAATGATAAATATTAAGTTTTTAACTGAAGAACAAAATTTGATAGGATGGTCAACTATGCCTTATTCTTAGCACACTCTTGGTAAACTATGCCTAGTAGGAGAAGATTCACATTGGTACAAGGGGTTTTTATTTACTATATTAATACTAAATTATATTAAAAAGAGAGCATTAGATAATTTTAAAAAATAAATAAGTTTTTGTATACAATACTACAAAATCATCTAAACAGGATCTATGTACAAAATTTTGGACAAAAATAGATAGAAAATTGTATGCCCTGTAACTTTCCAATACATAGCAGTGTTTTCAAAAACAGCTATACAATATACATACTGTTACTTAACAAAATTCTACCAAGCTAATATAGTTTCCTAAATATTTGCATTACCTACATTTCAAGTTCAATTATTTGCCGTGTGTTGAAAATAAAATATATGGGAAGAAATAAAATGAAAATAAAAATGGGATGCATAACCAAAAATAGATACTGGACTATTCAAGCATTAGTTCAAAACTTTCTTCCAAATTAGATCAAAACCAGAGGAGCCATTTTGAAATGTAGATGTGTTAAGAAAAATAGATTTAGCCAAGCACAAGTGAAAGTAGTGGATAAAATTGATATGGAATGATCAATGTACTAACGCACACAATCCTTAAAAAATTTGTAGTTTTAAAGACTAACATTTTTTCCCTTTCTGTATGAATATAAAGCTTCCTTATCTTTGGCAATAAAGTTCAAATATCTTTTCAAGACTTGTATTGAATAAATTATCTGAATTAGACAAATAATTTGAAAACTTTCATTTCAGTAAAATTATTAAATGCTGCTTTCCATTATCCTTAGATAAAATGTTTGAACCATAAGAAATTTTCCTTTCACTAACTGAGGAAACATTTTCAGTGGACGTAGATTCTTACAGCACTCCTCAACGTGTCCCTTAATGCCTCAAATGTGGTGCAGGTCTTTATGATTGGTACGAGAACTCATGCTCTACAATGTCCAGAACAACACAACATAGAGGATCTATACCCATGCAACGACTGTGGGGTTTAGTTCAAATCTTCCATGATCAGTGTGAAAGTACTTTTTCAATGTAATCCCTTTTGGGATAGTTAACATCACCAACTCCACTCCTCAATTATGTCTTCCCAGATTATCTTCTACTATTTATAAGGACTTATTCATAACCCTCATCTGGTGATTTTCCAGAAGTCCTGAAGAGCCTTCTCTTGTATATAAATACTTTGTTAGTTCTTACATTAGGAGGTTAATAATATCTATTTGCTGAAAAATATCTGGAAGACACTAAAAAGATAGTTTGACACTTCCTACAAATACAAATAAGAAGAGGTCTAAACAATTGATCACCTTAGAATCATTATCATAATATTCATCAATAACTTACCTAACGTAAATCCATAAGGACCTTCCTGCGCAGGAGGATCTAGCTTTATGGTACACTGCTCGAGAACTACCACACCAATAGGCTCCGACCATTGGTCCCTCGATTTGAAATAAAAAAGGAGATTTCCTCGTAGACGACACCATCTCTCTAGGCTGACTGTACACATAAATGTACATATTACAACAGAATAAAGTTTAAATTATCAAAACAAAGTATTTGAAGCCGATAAGCGTGCTGAATAATACTCTGATTAAAATCATTCTACAAAAGCGAGCTACAAAAAAAATTTAATCATTTTGAAGCAATGCAATAAAAAAAACAATAATTATAAGCCATCAAAAATTAACATAAACTTTTTTTTATTATTTACCAATGCACAAACATTATAATATATTGTGTAAATTAATTTAAAACATAAATATATGACATACTTACACTTTATAACACAAATTGAAGCCTTTGTGCATATTTGGTTAGTTTTTAGCAATGTTAGTGTGTTAGAATGCTCAGAGTTAATAGCGTGAATACTAAGATTCGGTTAGTAGCTCAAAATAATCTGAATAACTAGCTCATGTATTCAAATCTTAAATCTTGATATGACATTATTTATCAATTAAAAAAAAAAATTATTTTTGCAGAAATTTCAATAACCAAAACTTGAACTAAAAATCAAATTTCCATACATAAGTACACAATAATACATATTCAGAAAAAAATATGATAAAATTGTATGTAAAATTTAATTAAATAAGTTTAAAAAATATATAACTATTTAATTGAAAATCTTACTAAGTGTACAATATTTTAAGGTAATGAATAATATTTCTGAGTATAATAAAGTACAATATTGAGTACCAACAGGAGCAGATTTGTTTTATGAATTTTTTATGTCGCTCACAGACATGAAAGATAATACCTCATTAATCTGTCATTATTTCCAAAAACAATCATTACTTAATAGTTAAAAACTAAGTGGAGATAATTATGTATTATGTTAAAAATTAATTAATTAAAATATAAATTAATTTTAAAAAATATTATGTTATAATCCATATCAATGATTGCTTAACTGAATTGTTTTTTTAAACTTATGAAATTTGTTTGAATTTAAAAATACAATGTCATTCATATTCTGCTGCTCCTAAAATCTTTTTGTCCCAAATAAGTGCCAGGTCTACTGACGCATAAATCCCCACAGATTGTAGGTAAAATTACTATTGCCTGTACTATTAAATGTTATATTTTGTCAACAAAATTGTTTTTCTTGTCTTTTTTTTATTGCTAAATCAAAAAAAAAATGATATGTCAGGAATTCTTGTTTCCATCTCAAATAAAAAAAAAAAAAATTGTTAACCTTAAGGAGAAAAAAGAATATAATAACCAATAATCAGATATTTCTTTTATAATCACCATCCCTAGGCTGCCTTGCGGCTAAAATGATGCACAACACTGAGTATGAATTTTCTGTAATGAGGAATATTGAATATTGAAATTCATACTTCAAAATCGGAATACTTTTAGTGCTAGAATTTGAACAGACTTATCAGCCAAAAGTGTGATGGTTCTCCACTTGAATCTCTCCTTTTTGGAACACACGATATTGGAATTTAGATTTTAAAAATATATATGTTTCCAGAAATTTTCAGAATTTATAAGTTTTCTCGCTTTTTTTATTTAACTTAAAATTAAAAAAAAAAATGAAGAGAAATTTCTGCAAAATTTGAGATGATGGAAAACTATCATGAGCAGTTACAGAGATAATAAGCTGTTAATATTATGAAGTGTTATTAAACACTCAATATACCTTTGCTTGTTCCGCTATAGCAGCTCAGCTCCCTGATGCTCTTAGACTTTTTCCCTCTTTTGCTGTCTCTTCCTGGAATTGTGATAACATAACAACCAACACATCACCACATACCATATCTTTACGCGGAATAAAAGAAAGCTTCCCCTCAGTGTTTATTAACATTAAACAGGCTTCGTTTTCTTATAGTGTATAATTATTTTCCAAAAATTTAAATGTTGACATAGTACTGATATCAAAATAATCTTTAACATGCCAAATTCAAAAATAAATTGCAAATAAATGCTATATGATATAAAACTGAGAAATATTTATAAAATTATAATCCATGCCCAATCAAAAAAAAAAAGTTGTTCTTGATTAAGTATATCAAATATAAAAAAAAAAAAATTGCTTTAATATACAATCACAAGCATTCATATGCAAACATCAACTACATTGCAAATCAAGTAAATTAATCATTTTAAATTCTTATTAATTCAAAAGTTTTATATATAAACGAATAATACAAACTCTCATTAAATAAACGGAAAAACCTATAAAATTATTAATTTTAAAACTAAACAAATGATTTTAATCACAGATTAGTTTAGAATATGAATAAGTTTTAAATACTTAATACACATTGTATAAAACAAAAGTTTCATAAATTAAAGAGAAAAAAACAAAATACATTTATACTTCTTTAACACACAGAAAGCAATAAAGCACAGTAAAACACCATCGATATTGAATTCTAAAGCAAATACATCATTTAAACAAACATTATCATAAAGCCACAAATATCAGAAAACAATGAAATAAAAACAAATAAAATTATTTATCTTTTGAAATGAGATAAAATTAAAAATTAAAATATTTCAAGTCAAAGGATAAAACCTAATAATTGTTGGTATAAAAACTTAAAATTATTTGACAACTGCTGTCCTTATTATTGTTTCCCATCAAAATATGTTCAGATAAACTTTATTCAAAACTCAAGTTCTCATTTTGGGAAATCACAGTTAAAAGCATATAACAGAAAAAAAACAAATTCTGAAATCATCTTCAATAAACTAAATCTGTTTATTAAATTTGATCATTTATTTCATTAATTAATTTGCACAAGAAAAGTCCAACATATACAATCAATTTTGAAACATTAACTCCTAACAAATAAGATATGTAATGCTTTAGTCATATTTGTCTTGTGAAAATACATAGCTTTCTAAGAAAAATGAACTGTAAATGTGAAATTTGCATTTTTGACAATTTAGGATATTATAGATTTAGGATAGTGACATTTTCTTGAACGAACACCATACATATAATGAAATTAATAAGTTGCAGTAATCACTAATCATACAACATGTATTTAATAATTATAAATTCACAACATTCAAAGCAGAACAAGCTACTTATACATTCACACTTACCTACAAACAAACAACTTAGTAGAAAACTAAGTCAAAGAGCAAATTTATCAATTTTCTAATGAGTAAATTGAAAAATAAACATACCTAATAAATACCATGCAAAATTAAACCCATAATCAAGTATGTTAAAAAAGAATATTTTTATGAATCAATCCAATATGGATTTTCTTCAACCAATTCAATATTAAAAGCATGCTTTAATGTGATAGTTAGTCGAAAAGTTCAGACTAAAGTTGCCACATATGATCATTTCATCTCAACAGTGTGAGGTGATATGTAATAAAACTATTTTGGCAAATATCAATAATCTGTAGCAAAGAGCACTCAGTGAAGGTCTGGAACAATTTAAGATGTCAAAGAAATCTTTTTTTTTTTAAATTTACTGAATCAATGTCACACATCAAGAATATAACTAGTTAAAAGAGTAGTATATTAGCTCATTCCTCAAATATGTATATACAAGAAAATAATATGATTAAGTAACGAAGAATATTTACTTTCTGTGCGTCTGAAAAAACCATCCTGCCTCTCTCGAAGATAAAGAATCCCTTCCTTGTCAAATTCCTGAGATGGCTGAGTTGCTAATGTCAACAATTCCTGTTTATTGAACCTCATAATAGACGAAAACTAGATTTGAAACAAACAAGAAATTGATACATGTCAAATTAAGGCCTTCAAATAGTGACAACACTTTACTTATATGAATGGCTCACCTAAAACCGACATAAATTAAACTTGCACTTTTGAGAAAACCTGCTGCTTGAAGCCTCAGGCATCTTATTGGGTTGTTCAAACGGAAAAAACAAAAATTGTCGTGTAATGTCACATAACTCCAGAGGATCCACACCGCTGACCTAGACGGAGGCCAGCCCTGGGCTGCACCTTCGAACACAGCTGCTTATCACATTAACCGCCGGGAGACCTCCCACCTACCTCTTTGGTTAAAAACATCATAAACTATCTTAGCCCTGGAGCCAGCGCCCAAAAATAGACCTCATCGCAGGCGAAAGTTTGATGGTAAATTAAGAAAATGTATGTTATTCTGAGTAAAAAGAACTTTGTCTGCCGTTCCAGAACAGCTTATTTTAAAAATGGCGACTGATTTAAAGAATATTAGACCAGTAATTTGAGGATCGGAACGGGAAATCCATTGCAGAAAATGCGAGAAAAGTTTTAATTTTTTTAAAACTTGTATACATGGTTGTTTAAGAAATTTTGTTAAAAAACAAAATTACTAACGCGGGCCACCAATGGAAAACATTTCACAGCTAAAAAAGTCAGATTTTTTTACCAAAACCTCCTAAACAATGCATCAAATCGAAAAATGTATTATTCAATAAATTAAAGAACGTTACATTTTGCGTCGAACGAGTACATAAACTTTATAATTTGGCCACGTGGTAAGGAATAAAACCACAATCAACCGACGCTGATGTTTATCCAATTTGTCAAAAACAGAGACAAATGACTATAAATGGACCTGCAACTTGGAAATGAGTTCCCTAATAGGAAAAAACTATATAATCAAAATTGTAAAGCATCAAATTTGGGGTCCACTGAGTACTGACATTTTTATTTTAGGCCAATCATATATCTTGAATCGGGATTCGTTATTCTTTCATGAAATTCGGTATCATCCGACACATCGTATATCAAAATCCTTCGTTACTGAGAGGTGAAAAAGAGGCTTATACTGCATGTAACAGACTCTAAAGAATAATGACTCACTAGGATAGACACCCACACTGTTGAAATATTGAAAATCACGTTTACCTTCATTACCAATTTCTAACTTTCGGGAGATTACCGATTTTGTTTGGAGAATGTGACCTACATTAAATCAGTTGGTACTCACTGGACGCAAAATTTGATGCTCTACAACTTTTATTCTATTGGTTTTTACTCTTAAGGAACTCATTTGCAAGTTGCAGGCAATTTATAGTAATTTGTCTCAGTTTAGAAAAATTTGTTAAAAATCAGAGTTGGTTGATTGATGTTGGTTGATTTTATACTTTACCACGTAACGAAATTATAAAGTTTATGTACTCTTTCAACGCAAAATTTAACGTTCTTTAATTTATCGAAGAATATATTTTTCGCTTTGATGAATCGTTTAGGATTTATAGGTAAAAAAATCGAAAAATGTGACTTTTATGGCTTCAAAAAGTTTTCCCTTGGTGGCCCGAGTTAGTAATTTTGTTTTTTACATGTCTAAACCCATATATACAAGTTAAAAATTTTTAGTGAAAAAATTAAACTTTATATTAAATTCTTAAATATTTACATTCCGCTATAAGTATATTTGTTCATTTTTTTTCAAAGCAGTTAAGTAAAAAGTAAGTATAGTAATTTTGAATATGTACGCTCTGAATTTTAGAAAGTTTGATTTTTAAAAACTAGTATATAAATGTTTAAACTAGATTTTTCCTCTTTTTTTTTTTTTTATTTTAATGAAATTTACAACTGTATTACATGGAAAATACAACAAGTAAATGTGACATTGGTAACATGACATGTACAACATGAAGAGAAACTACCCATTGGTAGAACTCAAATTAAAGTTCTACATTGGAAGGTCACAAGGCCATCTCCTTTTCAGATGCCTCGGAGGGTTATCAGGGATCGAGGAGGAAGCTAGGTTTGAAACGAGAGGATTCGGATGGTTCTGCAGTTTGTTATGGAAGGAGAGGTATCTGGATTGGGCCAAATCGAAAACATATGGAACATAAGGTCTTTATGGGTGATGTTATTTATGACAAAGTAATGAGCGTTGAGGATTTTATGAAGGATTTTGGATTGCAAGGATTGGATACGAGAGGAATTCGATGGTTTAGTTTCTCTTTAAAAAAAAAACAACTATTTTTCTGAAACAACTATGTTTTTAATATTACACTTATACCCAAGTTTAAATCACCTTTATTATTAAGAGATTGATAAATTAGTTAATAGTCCCTATGGTTCAGGCACTTTCCCTGTCTTGAAGGAACCTTACTTAAGGAGAGGATATAGTTTGTGGGTCACCGATTTCAATCGAATTTTTTTTGGTGATACTCGGTTGAAAAATATTAAACACATATCACGGCGTTCCTTCCAATGGGCCCAAGGAGTCGGGAAAAAACAATATTTTATATAATTTCTCACAAAATATATGCTATATATTTATACCTTTGCTTTGTCCGGATTTTTAGAACATTATATATCAATCGATTTCTTTTTTTGTGTAGAATAAGAAAAAAATATTTACAATTATATTAAATGAGTTATAATATATACAGGGATGTGTGGTCCTGTGGCTGAAGGCTCCTTCACGCTGAAAGGCACACAGGAGGAAGAAGAAGAAGAAAAAAAAATTATAATGTATCATGAATTACAAAAACCAAAAGGTGCTTCCAGTAAAGTAGGCCAAATAAATTTTTGTTATAAAAAACCAAATTAAATTTGTTTTTAGCGTTCTATGAAACTCATAAATACGAATTTTTATATAAATAAATAATTACAAAATTTAATACTTGTTTTAGGGGATTTTTTTTTTCTGGCCGGTAGGTAGAGCATTCATAATGCTACGTATCAAAAGGGTTTATTAGTGGATTTTGATAACGGGATGCCACTGGTAATTATCGAAGATAATTATCCAGAATTAATTAATAAAAATATTAGTTAAACAAATGATGTCATTTGACATATTGGTCCTTGATTAATTTATTGGATTACTTCTCACAAAGGCTTGTTGTGTGTTTATCTGTTCTCTAATTACCAAACATTACCTGTGCTTATAATGAAAGAAATAGGTGGCATGATTAAAATAACTTTTATGTACAAATTATATTTATTTACAAGTTATGAGAAAGAATGTTATATACATTATATTTACAAAAATGAACTATACAATTGGTTGTGACGGCATGATTCAGATGGATGGAATTTAAAATTACATTGCCATTAAATATTTATACATCTTTAAAAAGGAATTGTTGGGGATTACTTATCTAATAAGTCGAGATCATCTGGACATGGATCAGGTAGGGCCAAGGCTTCAGTCTCCAAGTTGGAAGAAAACATCAGGGACCTCCTCAGTGCCGGGCAGTCCATCAGGCCTCTCTTCTATCAGCCTCTCCTCATCCAGCTGTCTTCAGCTGAGTCCCATAAAGAAGAAGTGTCTTCAGCTGCGTTTCCAGAAGAAGTCCTCTCTCCTCCGAGTTCCAAAAAGAAGTCTCTTCGTCCAAGTTCTATATCTTCCACCTTTTTTCATCCCCTCTCTTTTGGTAGGGGCAAGAATTGTTCCCATTGGTTCAATTTTTGTAACAGAAGGGATGACCACACCCCCTCCCCCAGGCCAAGGTAAAGCAGCAGGTACAGATTTCCATATTTCTGGTGGAAGGTGTGAAAATGTCTTTTGGGATCCTTTTTAAACACTTAGTTGTTGGTCTTTGTCGGTGGTCCTTAATGGTTTTTATTACCGCTTACAAAAGGTTGTCCTAATGGGTTACCCTCAGTCAGGTACCCAACCGCCAGATGTTGGGTTTATATTTTTTTTTTTTTTTTTTTTTTTTTTTTTTTTTTTTTTTCTGACCCCCCAGAAACTTTATTTAACACTACTTACAACATACATCTATGAATGTATATATACATTATTGCTTGACCTTTGCTTACCCAAGGGTATTTTAAGGTAAATGACAGTTTATGCCGTAAGCATAGGATACTTTCTGTGGCCTTAGGCCTTAATTTCATCACCGGGCGTGGAGGGACCGCCCTGCTTTTTTCATAAAGGATAGGGATGAGGATATATTTACATATTTACAATTATATATATACACTATGTACAAATGTGAGGATTCAGACTGCCGCGTCCAGACCCCCTCCTTCGTCAAAGACATCTACCAGGGGGACTTTGCCTTGCCACCTTCCAGGCCTGGGCGGTGGGGCGATTTCTTGGAATAATGGATTTGCACAGGCCTTAAGCCCATCAAAAAATTTGATGTGCCTCCGGCCAATGAATTCCGGGACCGAGGGTAGTTGGAGCTCCTGGTAGATATCTCTGTTCCTGGATCGCTGAAGATGGGTACCTCTGACTATTCGCCGAAGGACGGAGTTTTGGAATCCCTGCAGTCTCTGGAGTGTCGTCCGGTAAAGGTGTCGGAGAAGCGGTGCACCATAGAGCAGCGTAGGTCTGATGACCGCCTTGTATATCTGCAGTTTTAGTCTCAGCGAGAGCTGCGGCGACTTCAGCAGGTGGTAGAGCCTATGTGACTTTTGTTTTGCCAGCTTGAGTCTTTGTTTGACATGACTGGAGAATGTTAGGTGTCTATCCAATGTCACGCCGAGATAGACTACTGAGTTGGAGATCCGCTGGTCCACACTACCGATGGTGAAGTGAGTGGGTAGTGGCTTTTTCCCTTGCTGGAACGACATCACGATAGCGTCAGTCTTCATGGGGTTCACTCTGATGCCATTTTTCTCTAGCTCTCCGACGATGGCTTCTGTGGCTTTTTCTGCATGCTTGAGGGCTCTCTTTGCATTAGTGCTCGATGCATAGATCCCGATATCGTCAGCATAGGCTGCTACCACTGCGTTTGGGTGTTTGAGTGCCACTACTGGCGCCGTAAAAACGACGAACA